CTCTGATCCCTGGGTCCACCACAGCGGGGCTAGCTTTGGTACCTCAAACACCAGCACTATGCACTCTCCACCCAAGCACAGAATCACTGTCTTCTCCATCACCTCCACCCACGGATAAAGAATTACAGGCACACACCCCAACATGTACAAGCTTTCTGACTGTACCTGGAACATTTCTGCAGTCATCAAAATTCCACGTATAGTCTCTCTTTGAGATTATCTAGTCCGGTAGTGTTGAATGCCACTGCAGTCAAGATCTACAGTTCAGTCCATCTAGATTATTACTTCTGATGTTTATAAAGCAAAACAAAGTTCTGTAGGCGAAAATTTTATTGCTTTATCTGAGACTTACTTTCAGTTAGATCACCCCACCTTTGATACTAGTTCACTTTCATTATTGTACAAGACCTCACTTCGATTCTGAAACAACAGCCACTCTTTAAGGAGAGACAGACATATTCTCTAATCTCAGTCATCGCATGCCTCCCCTCCCCCAACTAAGCATAGCTCAAAAGACGTGCAAGATTATTAACACTGTTCAGAAAAAAAAAAAAAGCTAAAGAGAAATGTGAGTTAAACAGAATAAACTTCCACTGTTAAGTATCATCCCCAAATAAATTTACAGTACCTATATCGAATAGGGTAAAGACTAGAACGTCATACCAGTCAGTGACAGAACATTCTCAATCTCCATGACATTTTTCCTGGAGGGTTGGGGGACCCATCCGGCGGCACTCAGGGACCCTGCAGTGTCAGGAGTCAAACAGCAGGTTCCTACATGCCCTGCATGCAGCCCAACCCTTGCGGCCATCCTCATGGTCCCTCAATAAATCTCTTCTGACTTTTGACTTTTTACAAATCCTCACTTGCTTTCTAAAACAGTTCAGTAAAAGCACCAACCTAATTAACAGCAGCTTCCTCAGCAACAGTGGCCTTGATTTCACTTATTTACACATTAACTGCAGCCTCCTTTTGGCCAATCGAGTCTATTCTGTATACCATGCCGAGCCTTTTATCTGCCCTGGACAGCATTTTCTCCAGCAGATGAAGTAGATGCCGATTGATTTGCTGTCGAGCATGGTAAATTAATAGCAACAAATTGCTGAGGGCCCGTCTCACTGCTCCACCATGCTTCGGCAGTTTTGCTTTATTTGCTCCATGATGGGCAGCAGTCGGCCTCTTCAAGTCAATTTCTTCTTAACAACCTGCAATACTTTTCAATGGTGAAAATAGAGCTGTTCCTTGTAAGTCAGAAATCAATATCCTATTGCCCTCAGAAAATGCTAAACAAGCAGTATTGGCAATCCACTTGGTACTAGAGGGTATCAGATATAATGCAAATCCATACCGCTTCCCTCCTTGTAGTTATTACAGTTTGCTAAAAGGTTCCTAATGTCATTTATCATCATTTACCATCGACCAGAGGGGCTATGATTATGATATCCTATCAGCTGGCAAGGCCCTTTCATTTCTATTCAATTAATATTTTAGCAGCACTCAAACGGTTGTGGCCCAAGTCTCAAAATAAAATTTACATGGCTCGGAGTGAAACAATTTTCATGCTGTTTCAAAAAAATTTATTTCACAAGAGCTTATATGTACATCCACATTTATAAACATGTATGTGTGTGTGTATACATATATATCACACCGCATTTATTCTTTTGTTGTTAAATTGCTAATGTCCAGCATTTTCTAAAATTCAAGGTAATTTCTTAGAGGCGAAAGAGGACTTTCAGATCACAAAATGAATGGTAACTGTGTCACCAGATATTCTCAAAGATGTCAAAATGTGGTGAGTTCATCTCCATTTACAGTTCCTACGGAGAATTCACATGCCCGTTTGTTCCTAATATGCATTCAATATTCAGTTTTTAAACTGGTAACTGCTGCTGTCAGATTAAATCAAGGGGGTCCTCCTTAATTGCAGATTTACAGGTGAAGGATGGGAACAAGCAGCATTTAGCAGTGCCATCAACTGCATACATCACTTTGTTCTATCCATGGTCACTGACCCATTTAAAAGCCACACAGCATTTATAAAGAGAAACAGAGAGAAATAATCAGCAGAAACGTAACAAAACCATAGGTCCAAGGTCTCTCCAGAACAAAAAGCAAACACCTCACACACTTGGAGAAATCCTTAAGGAATAAAAGGCAATACACTCTTTCCACTTCCAAAAATTTGATTACGAAGACTCACAATGAAATGTGCCGTTTCTAACTAAGTCCCATTTGTCATCTTCACTTCCAAGCTAGAACTTCAAGCACGATGAAGCGTTAATTCACATTATAGCCTAGAACAATCCATTCTAACTTTTCTAGGTTCCACAACACCCCCCCCAAGCCTCATCTGCTCGATTCTATCAATCCTATTAAGATTTCCAGAAATTAGATTCATATTTTATACACTAATTCCATGTCATGTCACTGAGTTCCCCTTTAAAAAAAAAAATCAGCTAATTCTACCAGACTAATGCTATTTACTCAGTTACCAAAATTTAAATTAATTATGTTCTCAAACATAATTGTTAAAAATTGGCAACATTATGCAGGCTTAATTAAGATTAAATCCAATTTACTAAATGTACTTTAATTGGTACTAATTACATTAGCTTTCATTTCAGAATGACAAATTCCCCATAGGTTTCACTTTAGCGTCCTCTACCCGAATCAACACACAGTGACTGAAGATGTGCATCCTACAGAATGGGGTAGGGCCCTAAAGCCGACCTCCCCACCTCGCCCGCCCTGTTTGTCGCTGCTCTGGGCTTTTATCCTTTTATCAATTTGCTAAGTCACAGAGTCATGACTCCATCACAGCCATCATTTTCTGTTCCAATGAAAAATTTCTCTAAAAATAAATAGTCTGTGGCTGGCAGCAGCCAAGAGGAACAGGGGCATTAACCAAAAAATACACAAAGGTTTCAAATATCAGGGCCACCAATTACTAGGGTACTTCCAAGGACTCCGGGGACTCCTACTCTTGAACCCTTTGAGACACAAATCTAATAAGTGAATAAGCCTAACCCGATCTTGAGAACTAGGCCCAATTATGCCGCAGGCCAACTTCCCTGCATTATCGCTGCTTTCCATTACAAGGGTACCCAGCAAGTGCATCTGGAAGGGAGGCCAAGAGGAACCAAGGCTGTCTGCCTAGGAAAACAAATAAAGACAGATATGCCTCTGTGCTTAAGGGGGGATAGAAAGAAAATATAATAAGTAGGTGGTTTGCAGGGCTGTCTGTATTTCATAATGTGATAAACTGCCCTCAGGATTCTTGATATGATTGAATTTAAAAGCAGGAGGAAAAAAGGGAAAATGTACTCCATTCTCAATTTTAAGTGGACAGCGTTTGAGGCCAGCTGGACAAGAAGATGACAGAATTACAGAGGAATAAAACGTGAAAACCAAAGGATCTTACATACTATCCCTCAAAAAACAAGACACAGAGAGTTAAACAAAAGTATGTGCATCTCAAAAATGGAAATAGAAACATCTAGAAACTGAATGGCTAGGGTAAACAAGACACAGAAGAAATAAACGGTGATTAATCATCAGCCCAATCTTTAAAAAGGACACTAATTAACCTAGGGTGGTAGGGTGAAGACCAAGAACTGTACATGATTCAGATTTAAGATGACATGAAATGAGGTTAGTTAAGAAACAATTATCTGCCCTGTAATTTCTTCCAGTAAGGTAGCGCTAAGGAGTCCATAGCCCCATGAGTTTTGTTAAAGCAGGAGTTGTCTACGTTACTAATCTAAACAGAAATGGCAAAAATTACCCAAAAAAGGAATTTGGCTATTAAACCTACAGTAAAGTCTATTATAATGTTAGTACTGATACAATAAAATGAAATTCAAAAAAAAGGTTCTAATGCAATGACTCATTTTTCCACACCTTTCCATTTTCAAATAATATCTATCCAATTACTCTGTGTCATAATTTAAAGACCTAATATTTAAGTATGCTCTGAGTATGTGGCGACTGATACACAAAGAGGAATTCAAATTGGTAAAGTCAAATCATAACGTGACTATTTAATATTTTTAAACTTGCAAAGTAATGAAATCAATTGTAAAGGCCAGCAAGAAAGAGAAAATACTATGTTTTCTCTTGTCTCTTCCTCGCAGGTAAACATCTACGTACCTCTTCTGAAATGGTTCTTGAGACCTGAAGCACTTTGCACAGGGAGATCACTAAAAATAAATGCCTCCTAGAGGAATTATTGTAAGGCAATGCTTTACATATACATGCTATTTTTCTAACTAGGAAGCTTAAACCAAACCTATTTTATTCAATCTCCTAGGAGAGTAGGATTGGGAGGTAGGGTATTTGCATGATACCTCTCAACACACTTTTTGACTAATAATTATTTTTCTCTTCTCATTCATTTTCCTTTTTTCTTTTTTTTGGCTGAACTAATTGCAAGACCTGCCTTATCAAATCCTCTATTCGGTTCATTTGCTCTATATGATTTTTGGAAGTAGTAATAGTTATAATTCCTGGGAAGATCCAACTAAGTAGCTTCCAGGGACCATCGGAGGATTTTACATCAATTTCTTTGTTAACGCCACAGATTTCATTTTGATCCTCCCTGTTCACCTTTCCTCCATGCTTTCACACCAAGTCAAGAAAGAAGCCATACAAATTAGAATTTACTTTTCAGTCTTTTCCAAGAAATCCTCTTTCATACATCTGCAATGCTCAAAACACATAAACTTTTAAAAAGACTAGATCTTCTAATCTAACAATCTGCTTTTCAAAGTGCGCAAACTTTAGTATTAAACCACAATTTTAAATGATTAAAATTAGGACAACCTGCCAAGAAGATGGGAAATTACATGTGAAAACAAAACAGCACTCTCTCCATTACAGATTTTTTAAAAATACAGGTAGCCACAATAATGTGCAGAATTGGTGATACACAAAATTCTCTCTCAGGTGGTACACAGTATTATTGTTAATTTAAAAGTTATAAAGAAATACCAACTTACCTGCTTGTGCATTTCTATATTCAACCCATAGGACATCTCATAATACTGTGAAGGAAGAAAAAGTAATTAATTATATGTCTTTAATCAACCTTCCTGGTTCGTTCAAAACACCTCCAAGAATATTTCAAACATAAAAGCTTCACCTAAAGCAAAATATTCATTAAGTTCATGCTTAATGTACAGAGAAACATTCCACTGCTACCTTTAGTCTAATAAACTAAAGCTACCTTAAGACACAGACTTTAAGAAAATCACAAAAATAAGGACACTGAATTCAAATGTAATAGTTATCTGCAATTGTTTGTATAAGTCACAAGAGATATATTAAAACAGTCTAAGGGATATTTGTCCATGTGGAAAAATTCCTAGGCACAAAGGACAAGTGAATGGAAAAAACGTTTCTTGTCCAAATACCGATGCACTGAAAAAAAAACTATTCAAAAAGGTGATGCTACCTTGCAATTTTGACTGCTCATTTTCAGTGTAATGCTCCCATTCTAGTCATAGGAAATACTTAATAGGAAATAATGTGCTACTGTAGTGTGATCTTTATGAACAAACAAAAAAAATACGCCTGTCAAGACTTTTGGGGAAAGCAAATCTGATTTTTTGACTACGTAATATAGCTGACATTAAAGAATTTCTGACAGAACAAATCAGTTACACAGGCAACTACAACACTTCTCAAGCCAATGGACCACAACAGAAAATGAACACACGCGCCAAACAAAAAAATACACACGCGCTAATAAAATAAAAATAAAGGAGTGGGGGCAGGGAGGCCTCCAAAGGAACAGGATGTCTCATGGCATCATTTGAAAGAAAAAGAAAAACAATACAATTTTAATAGAACACATAAAAATTGGTTAGAACTATTTGAAGAGCAATAAAACAAAGAACACGGACAAAAACATGCAACTTAAGATACTAAATTAGACAGACTTCCTTTCAATCTGCAAAAGCAAACGCACAAGAAATTCATATGCTTCGGAAAAGGAACTTTTTCAAATTTCAAATCACAGTCAGCTGCCAGAATATGCAAGGTCAAAAACCCTGGAATTACAGGTTGCTAATGCGATATTCCCTCAACCTCCAAAGCACTGGCTCTATGACTGATCTGTCTGCAGGTTCCAGCACACTGAATGACTTGTTGGTGGGGGGGGGGGTACCCCAAACTAGAGAGCACTTTAAATCCAGAGCAGTTTTCTTACCATGACATAATGCCGCTGCATCTCTGTCTTCTCACTGGCCAGTTTCTCACATTCCAGCTTCAGGCTGTTCAAGACACAAGAAAAACCTAAGTGTGCAAACCTGGATTTACCTCCTTCTTCTCTAAATCATCGCCTACAAAATGCCAAGTCAACTGTCTGAAATACCACTCTCATTACAGGAGGAGAGGCAGGAGAGAAAGGGGTGATTAGTTACAACCGGCCAGGGTGGGGAAAAATGCCCTTTCAATACAGATGTGTGGAGGCATGGGGGAGACGTAGTTGTCTTATCAAATGCAAAAAAATTATCGAGCCAATTGAATGGGGGGGGTCATCGAGAAATATTCATTATACTCAGGTAATAAAGCAAGTACAAGTAAATAAGCATCAATAACCCCTACCTATTAGAAACATAAATAAGTCCCCCCCATAGGTCACAAGGGAACTTTTTTTTTCCACTTGCAGGAAGAGAAAAATGGAGATATGTATCAAGCATGTGTTACCAAGGATGTCTTATCTGCCCCCCCTCCAAAACAGAGGCAAGTTGAATACCACCACCCAGGGGCAAAGCGTGGATCCCCGGTCAGTGACTTGTTTGCGTTTTTGCTTAAAAAAATAAGCGCTCCACGTCACTTAAAAAAAAAAAAAAAGGAGGAGAAGCCGATCAAAGAACCGTATTTCAAAGACATTCTAAAAAAACGGATGACTGTGTCGAGGCCAGAAAGCAGCATGTTTTCTGCATGGAAGTAATGAAATCGCTCCCTCGCGACTTCCCAGGGCTTTGCAAGAAAGCCCCGCGTGCAATTCTGGCCAATTCTGGCCGACGGGGAGCAAGAAGTGAGACTGCACGGAGCTCTCTCGGAGTAAGAACCAAGAAGTCAAAAGGCCCCAGAACCTTCCCGGGCCTTCCATTCCGCGGGACCCAATAAATCAATACCGAAAGTTTGGCCTCAGCATTTTGCAAGTCTCCCCCCCCCCCGCCCCCCACACTCCCCCAGTTTCGATGGTTCTGCCTCCACCACCACCCCCGCCCCTAAAAGAAGCCTCAGAAAAACCGAGCAACGCTTCGGTGGTTTCTTCGCACCTGCCCAGGGGCCGGCCCGGGGACTCCTTGTTCCTCCTGCCCACGCGGTAGAGATCGACCCGGGAGGGCTTGGAGGGGGGCAGCCCCGCCGACCCCAAACAACGGCTGCGTGCGTGTGTGTCGGGGGGGGGGGGGGGCGGGAGAAGGCTGCAAAATTTGGGGTGGGGGCGAACACCGACGGGAGACGGACGCAGCTGCCGGGAGCACGATTACCTGTGGTACTGAGCCTGCAAAAACTGAAACTCTTCCTTGATCCGATCGCAGGACTCGGAAATGGTAAATTTAAAGGGCTGAGCAGGCTGATGCGGTGCCTACGGAACAACAATAAAAGATCTCATTAGCCCCGCAACGGCGGGGAGCCGGGGGGGGGGTGGTGGGGGGTTGCAGGGGGAGGTCGGGGCGGGCTGGGGAGGGGGAGTGGGGGGGAAGGCGGCGCGGGACGCGGGGCGCGAAGCCGCGCAAAGAGCGAGCCACCAACTCTCCTCCCCTCCCGGGCCCCCCCCCCAGGCCGTTTCCAGGGGATCCCCCCCGACCCCAGCCCCAGCCCCGATCCCGATCCCGATCCCCCCCCCACCCCCCACCCTCGCCGGCGCCGCGAGCCGCGCCCACGCCCTCCGCACCCGGAATGGAAACGGGCCCGTCGGGGGCACGCGCGCCATGGCGTCGGGCTGCGGGGGGAGAGGGGGGCAAGCGCGGTCGCCCCCCGCGCCCCGCCGCGCCCCGCGTCCCGCCGCAGCCCCGCACCCGCTCCCCGAGCCGGCCCGGGCCGCGCCGCCGCTGCCGCCGCTGCCGCCGCCGCCGCCGCCGCCGCCCTCCCCGCCCCGGCGCCGCCCCCGCCCCGCGCCGCCCCGCCTCGAGGAGCCGCCCGCCGGGGACGACCCGCGACGCGGCGCGGCGCGCAGGGGCTTCCGAGACAACAATGAGAAAATGGCTCCAAGCCCGCTGCCTCCCGGCGCCCCGGCTGGCGGGGGAGTCCGCCCGCCGGGACCGAGGGGGGCGTCGGCGGCGGCGGCGGCGGCGGCAGCGGCGGCGGCCGCCGCGCGGGGCCGCCGGCCGCGCTCCACGCCCCTCCGCGGCCCAGACCCAACTCGGCGCGCCGGGCGCGGACGCGCGGACGCGGGGACGACCCCCCCCCCCCAGCCACGCACCCACCCACCCAGCCACCCACCGTCCCGTGCCCCCCGAGCGGGCGCCCGCACTCACCGGGTGTCGCGTCTGCGGGTACATCTTGCTCAGGTCGCGAATCATCCAAGCCGGTTTAGTTGGCGGCGCTGGACAAGGGCGCGCGGCTCATTGGATGGAACGGTCCGGAGGCGGCGGCGCGCTCGGCCGCGGGGTCCGAGGGGCGGCTCGGGCGGTCCCGGCCCCCGCCTGGGTCTCGCGTGACGCGGGCGGGAGGGACGCGCGGCGGCAGCGGCGGTGGCGGTGGCGGCGGCGGCGGCGGCGGCGGGGTGCCCGCGGCCGGGCCGCTCCGCATTCCCCGCAGGCGTCACTGCTCCGCGGCGGGCATCGTCCGGCGCGCGGCTTCCCCCGGGCAGGTCCCGACGTTCGCCCCGCCGAGCCCGGCGCCGCGGCCGGGGAAGTGCGAGCTCCGCGCCCCGGCGCCCGTCGACAGCGCCGCCCGCCCGTTCGCCCGCTCGCTCGCTCCTTCGCCCGCTCGCTCGCTCGCTCCACGTCCCGCGGCAAACTTTTTTTTATTTCTTTTAATTGGTTGTTATTCCTCCGAATGAATGATCTCTCTCTTCTCGCCCGAAAGCGAACACAAAACTCCTTTGCTGCTGCGTGGAAAAAAAAAAAAGGTCTCGGCGCCGCTGCTGTGGGTTTTCTCTGGAGAGATTTTTTTTTTTTTTTGCACTTCACGGCCACGATCTTTGAAAAAAAAAAAGGCACCTTTTAGCTTCTTTTACCACATCTCATTTCCTTATTTTTCTTCCTTCCTGTTTTCTTGTCTTTAAAAAAAAAAAAAAGAAACCAAATTGAAGGGGATTATGAAAATAAAAGAGAGTGAAACACTTGCGGCTTTAAAAAAAAAATTCTCTCCTTTCAAACTCTTGCGAACACCACCTCAAAATAATATACAAGTGTGTGAGAGAGGGGGAAGAAAGCAGCCAACAGCCCAAACACCCGCTCAGAACAGCTCTAACAACACGCTCTGTGTAGGTGACTTCTTTGACCAAATTTAGCAGCAGCTAATCATTAACATTCTGATACATATTCACAATCGGCCGTGGGGGGACCGTGAAGCATCCCGGGAGATGTAGTCCTGCCTCCAGCCACTGGCGCGGAGGATCCGGCCCGGCGGACTACAATTACCGGCCGGCCCCGCGACCGCTCGGGGGCGCTCTCCCAGCGCCCCGCCTCCCTCGGCGGGGTAAGTGTCTCCAGCAGCCAATCAGAGATGAGTGAGCATTAATCGCCGTTCTAAGTTACTGCCCATCATTTCCCCGCTGACAAATGGCGAGGCAGCGGGGCGGAGTCGGACGCTCAGAAACCCACGTGGGGGCCGGGCGTCGTCCGCGGTTCGGACCAATGAGCCGGACGGCGATGGGGTGGATGGAGGCTGGGTGAAGAGGGCCCGCCCAAGGCGGAGCTTAGCCTTGGCTGACGTTCCTTAGCGCGAGTGTTCGAACCCGGGAAACATTTGTTCAGCTGTCAATCAAAGTAACGTGGGCCTGGGAGAAGCGGCGGCGGCGGCGGCGCTGGCGGCGGCGGCGGCGGCGGCGGCTGGTGCTGCTGCTGCTGCTGCTGCTGCTGCCGCGGGTGCTGCCGTGGGTGCTGCCGCTACTGCTTGCCCTGGGCTGCATCTTCCGAGCTGGGTTATGGTTGGCGGGAGTGGAGGCAAAAGAAAGAGCTGGTGGAGGGGGCGGTGAGACGAGAGACCGGTCAGATCTTCCGAGCCTCGTTCTCTTCCCCCCCTGCCCCGCCCCCCAGAACCCCAACACCCGGGGCCCCTGGCTCCGCGGCCCGCAAGCAAGAACGCGGACTAATTAGGGTCCGATGTCTCCTTAAAGAGACAAGTTCGGCCTTGCGGAACGCGCCGAAACCCCTGTAGAGACGCGGGAGACGATCACCCTCGTCCCACTCCGTTCGCTGCACATCAATTTTACGCGCCACTGGAGCTGGCATAATTTTCCGTGTGAACGCAGACTTGGGCCACTGTTCTTGCTTAGAGCCGGAGGAGCTGCTTGCTCGGCTGGACGATCTCGCGATCTCGCCCTGTTCCGAGGAGGTTCTGATTGCCCCCACCCCACCCGCCTTCAAGTCCGTAGCGGAACCACCTCCCCCCAGACGCCTGGAGAAGGAAGGAACCGCCCCCGAGGCTCTGTCCTGGGAGCCCCGGGACAAACCTGAAGTGTCCAGAGGAGGCCGGAGACGGGCGGGCACTTGGATTCCCGGGTTCCCCAAGAAACTTTGACTTTTTGCTTTGGGTGGGGGCGCGGTGGGGGGCAGACTTTTTTGAGCCTGTGCCCGCTGGGTTGCCATCCCGAAACACTAAGAACCAGATGCCCTTTAGAGCCTCGTGACTTGCCCATCCCTGCATCCGAGGGAGATGCCCGGAAAACACGCGCCCTCCGCCCACCCCCACCCCCCACCCCCGCTGCAATTCTCCTAGGTCGTAGTCCAAAGTGGAAGGGACCACGAAGGCCACTCAAGAAGGTGGGGCGGCCGCTGCAGGGACTGAGGGGACCGGGCAGACTCTGGCCTTGTAGGGGCCAAGGGCTGAGCGACTGACAGTGGGCGGCTGCGGATGCAGCGTCGGGAAGGAGCAAGAGTGACAGCAGGGTCCGAGCTGCCAGGGAGGGCAGCGCCTTCCCGTTTTAGTCCTCCTCCTGCTGCTGCAGGGAGCTCAGTCTTCTTCCACGATGCTGACCTTTCTGGCGGGGAGGAATTCCGGGACAAGTCAAATGCTGCGAGCTACTTTAAAACTCGGGGCTTCTGATCATTACTTGCTGAATGTCCTTTGCGCCGTCTAAGTGGACGTTGGTCCCGATGGTTCCCTATTAGGGGAAAACTGTGCTTCCTCGTAGATGCCTGTTGGCTTGGCTTGGTGGAAGAATATGCAATCTCGCACCTTCTCTTGGGCCCCCTCTGAGCCCTGGAGCTAAGAAAGGCTATGGGATGCTTGAGTCTCTGCCGTTCTTTGAGTTTTTGCTTTTAATAAAGTCCTGGAGCTCGAATTCAAAAACGGTTTTCAACGCTGCGAATACCTTATTTAGCTTCAAGACTGAGGCATGGAGGAGTCCCTTGGACAGTCTTCTGAGTCTCCTCTTTCCATGCTACACACAGCCACTTCGATCATGGTCCACAGTGATATGAAAGGGACTTCAAGTGCTTATGCAAAATGGTTTTTGAAGTTTGTGCCTTAAGAAGACACTGAACGAGCTCAATGATTTGTAATGAGCACATGTTGAAGTTCTAATATTTTAAGTATAATTACTTATATTCTAGTTCTCCTTCTCAGAGAACCCGGCAAGCTACCGAGGGTATCCTGCCCGCACAGCAGAGCCTGGCAAGCTTCCCTGGCTTGTTCATTATGCCAAAAACAGTAACAATAATGTGTCTCATTCCACTGACCCTGAAAGAGCCTCCAATGTGGCACCGTTTGGAAGGATGAGTAAGGAGAGGCTGCTAAAATCTCAGGGCTAGGATGAATGCAGACATTACTGGTGCCCGATGGAGCAAATCAATGAATAACAGGATGACAGTGATACAGTGAATTATTTAATATCGAACTACAATGTGGCCCATTTCTCTCACACACACACTTTGTTTTTGCTAACATGGATACTAGAAAGATTTCAATTACTTTACCTGACTCACGTATTCATCAGATTGCACCATTTTAAGCCATTTCCAAAAACCAAAATTGAGAGGATTTGAGTGATGCTATTTCTAAACCAGTGAATATTCTAAGATCACCGGTAACAACCACGTTTTATTCTCAGGTTGGTCCTTTGCTCTCACTGGAGCTTTTCAATCATTTGTTAAATCACCTACAGTGCCTCTGTAGGAAGTTCCATGTTATCTGTTCTAGCCAGAATGTTAGCGAGTTGAATGAGAACAGGGACCTGGTTGTATTCGCTCCTGTGCTCCAGATGTCTCGAATGCTGTCTGGCACATAGTTGGTGCTCAGTAAATATTTGTTGATAGCATTAAAAAGTGAATGCAGTGTTGTGTAGACAGTGTCTGAGTCATTTGAGCCATATTTACTGAAATTATGTGCTGTTATTTGCCAGGGCAAGAAAAGAGATTACTATTAATAGAGCCTCAAATGTATTGAAAGGGTCAGTGAACAAAAGAGAAACTTGCGGCCTTAAGAAATATCAGACTAACTCTAGCAGGCACCTCTCTCCTAATACCTTTTGACAGTTTGTGTCAAAATGACTAGAGAAATGAAGATTTTTTTTTTATTTTATAAAATCCAGTTTTGAAAAATCAAGCACTTGGGGCCGGAGTGATAGGACAACATGTAGAGTACTTGCCTTGAATGTAGCTGACTGGGTTCCATCTCCGGCCTCCCATAAGGTGCTCCAAGTCCACCAGGAGTGATTCCTGAGTGCAGAGCCAAGAGTAACCCCTGAGCACCGTGAGGTGTGCCCCCCCCCCCAAATGAAAGAAAACACTTGAATGTCTCCCATGTTGACCACATGGTGATTTACATAACATGCAATGAACATAACATGCAATGAAGGTCACGGTCCTCCCGTTGTTCATCGATTTGCTCGAGCAGGCCCAGTAACATCTACATCATGAGACTTGTTGTTACTGTGTTTGGCATATCAAATACTTCACGGATAGCTTGCCAGGCTCTGCCGTGCAGGCGAGATACTCTCTGTAGCTTGCCGGGCTCTCCGAGAGAGGCAGAGGAATCGAGCTTGGGTGGGCCATGTTGGCCGCTTGTAAGGCTCAGAAAGATATTAGGGGAAGTGAGTGGGCCTCAATAGAAAAGTGAGTTTCATCACTGCATTTGTCTTCACTGTTCTCTGCGTGTGCCACTCAACACTCGCATCTTACAAGCTGGCGAGCCAAATTTGAAGTCAACTGCGGGGAGAACAGAATCAACTTCTTCCTGTCACACAGAAGCTCAATGGTAGCATTCTTGTCATCTTTACCTGCCCTGCGAAAATGGGTCTGGGTCCTTTAATAACTTCCCTTTGTTGGCTGGTACTCAAGCTTTGTCACTAGCATGCACTGGAGAGACTTTGTGGTAGGAAACAGTTTTGATTAAAGTGAAATTGTTCAGGTCAGGCTCTGACTGCATAGGTGACCAGTAGCACTCTATAACTAGAAAATTCTTCCATGAACCCCTCAG